GTGCAATCTGCATGTCCAAATTTTATTACATGAGCACAGAAAAACTGAGCGGAGAATATAGACACAAACATTCTAAAATTCCCAATTTCCAGATGTTATAAAAAAGACATTTCTTATTAATGATGATCAAGATAAAAAGATCTGGAGAACATGTATACAGAACCTTAGATCCCTAACAATAAAACTCCATGCAAAAAATATGCTAGAGGAGCATATAAATATGCTAAAAATATAGGTCTATAAAAAAAATCAGGCCCCATAGACAATTTAATGCCACGAGCTTCATTAAATGTTCAAATTTAAGTTAATCCATTTATTAAATGTGTTGCGGTTGCCCACTCTATTAGACTCTAGATAAAATACAAAGTCTAGAAAGACAATTAAACACAGAGAAATAAGCAGCCTGAACTATAACAACCAAAATGATAAACCATATAGATATGACCAGGACTCCAAAGATATACCAATGAAAAAATTAATTCCAGGTGTGGAAAGAGCGCCAGGTTTTAAGGGTGGTTGCCATTTTCTTCTAAATGTTCCTTTACTTATTTGATGCACAATCTTTGAAATAAACTTTTCTCTGAAAAAAACATTTAATAAAATATTCCATGATTGGCCTATGAGTCTCTTGCTTGGTACACCCAGCATATTTTTTCTATGGGACAAAGGCACATTAAAAAGGACACATTAGTCTCTCTTTTTTCTTTTCTTCCTTCCTTTTTTTTTTGTATACTACTATGAGTTTAGAATGGGGGTATCAAATCAACTGCTTTCCCAAATTAGATTGGATAAAATAGGAGCAGGAAAACTGATATTTTTCTGATCAGCTTTGCCTAATAATCTTTCTGACAGCCAAACATACGAAGAGGAATTTAATACAAATGTATGGAAACAGTAACAGTGGAACGGATCTCACCATTAGATCCAATCCTGGCTATATCACAGCTCCATTTCTTTCTTGTTTATTCCTTTTCTTTTACTAGCCCGTGAGAAAGCCAGAATTTTACATTAGCCACCATTTACCTTTTCCACAAAGAAATTTTTTTTTGAACAACTTATTATTATTATTTTTAAAAAAGGAAAATCCTGGAAGCCCATTTGAACCAAGCTCTTCCCATCCTACCTTTTTTCTGTCCAGCTATAGTTGGTATGTCATATTCCGCTATGTTTTTTGAGGAAAGGGCCTTGTCTTGATTTGAAGGTTCCTTCAAAGAAGAGGGTGAAAAGGAAGGGGGGAGTGTACAAAAGTTTTTAAAAGAGGAAGCAGTCTTTTCTTATTTATTTACAGGTAGTCTTCGACTTAGAACCATAATTGAGCCCAAAATTTCTGTGGCTGAGACAGTTGTTAAGTGAGTCTTGCGCCATTTTACGACTTTTCTTGCCACACTGGTTAAGTGAAGCACTGCAGTTAAGTTAGCAACATGGTTGTAAAGTAGAATCTGGTTTCCCCGCTGACCTTGCTTGCCAGAAGGTTGTAAAAAGTGATCACATCGCACACACACACAAACACACACAATGTCACAAATATGAGTCACTTGCCAAGGGTCTGAATTTTGATCACATGACCACAAGAATGCTGCAACAGTCGTAAGTATGAAAAATGGTCATAAGTCACTTTTTCCGTAACTTCAAATGGTCACTAAATGAACCGTTGTAAGTCAAGGACTACCTGTATTTATGTTTATTTGGCTTGCATAATGCCAAATCCTGCAGGACACATGGCAGTTAACCGTGATGTCTTTAATCACCCATGGTAAATAATGAAACACTAAAATACCAATAAAATAATAATAATAAAATAAAATAAAATATCACTTTTACGTCTTTGTGATAATTGTAAAATCCTGAAAATAATGTAACCATCAATCCAACACAAATTTATCACCCCATAATGCCGTGAGGGCAAACTTTTTTGGCACTGAGGGACCAATTTGCGTGCGCATGCCCAAAATGCCCCCGTGCATGTGCATCCCCTCGCATGCCCCCACCCCTGCTTGTGCCCACCCACACCCATGCGCAGCAGAGACCTAAAGATCTGGCTAACGGAAGGCACATGCACATGGTAGAGCTGAGAACAATCAACTAATGGAACAGAAGTTGCCCTCGGAAGTTGTGGGAGTGCCATCACTTGAGACTTTCAATAAGAGATTGGACTGCCATTTGTCAGAAAAGGTGTAGGGTCTCCCGCTTGGGCAGGGGGTTGGGCTAGATGACCTATAAGGTCCCTTCCAACTCTGATTATCTGTTAGCTACGCTGGGGCGACGTTGTGCATGCCCACAGAGGGGGCCCTGCATGCCACCTGTGGCGCACGTGCCATAGATTTGCCACCACGGCCATCATGTATTCAGATCACAATGGCATCAATCATGGACCACAGGACAAGCTGGATCACAGGACCTATTGGAAATCAGCAGTAGAAGATGGTAGGTCCCCAGGAGGGAGGGGCAACATCCCAGAGGACCAAGAGACAGCAAAGATGAGGTAAATGTCTATGGAGAATTCTCAGTCATCCTGGTCAGGGTTGTCCCGAAGGTGCTTTTTCAAGAGGCAACTGAATTTTCTGGTTTTTCTTTGAAGACATTTCACTTTTCATCCAAGAAACTTCTTCAGCTCAGACTGGATGGTGGAATCCTGCCATTCCCTACATTGTAAAGTTACTGGGTGAAATGTATTGCTGCTTATTGTTCTCTCTCTACATCTTTGTATTTTCCAAGGATTCTGTGTAGGTCTAGTACAGATGGATCTGAATAACAAACAGCTGACAAACAATATTTGTAGCAGCCAGTAACCAGAATGCCACAACTGTATCATCAGCGTGATAAAATCGTGGCAAGTTCTACAAACAATAAAGTAGAATTCTCCCTAGCCTTGACAGGGAGATGTTGATTTTTTTTTAAAATCAAGCCATTAGTTTTGACCAAATTAATAACCAAACATCAGTTCCCGCGAAGCAGTCTTACCTTGAGCCCAGCAGCCATCTTAGCTTCAATAGCCTCCATCTTCTTCCACAACCGCTTTTGTCTTTGTTCTTTGTTTTTTAGATGGTCCATTTCCCCCACTTGCTTATTAAGATCGGGCTTACTTCCTTGGGAATAACTCCTCCTCCATCCACCAAATCCATCCCAGCGCCTCTTCTCTGCCCAGAGGAGCAGGCGGCAAAGAACGGACATATTCCGATGAGAAGCAGAATTAAGATGGGCTGAAGGCATGTTTGAATGTAGGTGTGCTCAGTCCTCTTGCGCACGTGTAGAAAAAAATCACACCGATTTTCTCCCTTTGGTTCCAAATGCACATGCTTCCAATAGTCACTTTTCCATCCCTTACATTGCTGATGGAGCCTACAGAAATAAATACCAAAAAACCCATATAAATAAGATACCCAAAAGGTTGGGGGCCACTGGTTCAGATCAGGAAACAGACCCTACAACAGGGTCCCCAAACTTGGCAACTTTAAGCTATGCTGGCTGGAGAATTCTGGGAGTGGAAGTCCACAAGTCTTAAAGTTGCCAAGTTTGTAGACCTCTGCCCTACAAGATTTTTTTAAAAACTAAGCTTTATTGAGTTAAGACTTAGGAACAGAATCTTGCAAGTCTACTGATACTTTCTCTTCCTGTCCTCTTATACTCCTAGAGAGTTAGGGGTGGAACCAGCCTAATATTTTTTTTTCCTTTCCCAGGGCTTAAGGCAAATTTCTGCCTTTTTTTGATTTTGCCATCACTTTTGAAAAGCTCCTTCAAGACCATCTCCATGACTCTCCACATCAGTGGAAAATACTCACACCCTGTATATCACCTCTTTCTACTAAATGTTCCGCTGGTCATCTGGGTGGCCTCAACAACTCTCTAAAAAGAATGCAAATGACCAGCTGTCTGCAAGGAGTATAAACCCTTCCATTCCCCTCCATCCAGTCAGAGCTGAAGAAGCTTCTTGGATGAGAAGTGAAATGTCTTCGAAGAAAAACCAGAAAGTCCAGTTTCCTCTTGGAAAAGCACCTTTGCAATAGGTGTGTGAGAGAGGGAAAAGGGGAGAGAAGAAAAAGAGAGGGAGAGAGAGAGAGAGAGAGAGATCTATTTTTCTTCCCTTCAAAATCTATTGTTCTATAACAGGTAGCCACAGTAAATACAGTAGCTGCATGATCTGAGGGCTGTAACTATAATTATATGGAATTATCATGCATTACTTTCTTACCCAACAACAGTGTTTCTTAAATTTTATTCTGTCAGGATCCCTTTCCACTTTTAAAAATTATGGAGGGCTTTTATTTGTATCAATATCAATTTGTTAATTGATATTGACGGGATTGAAATTTAAAATTGACAACATTTGCTGCCACTACAACTTCTCTGGATTATTTGATGAGGGTTTAATATCGTATTATTTTTCAACCTAGGCTGCCGAATCATTTTGATTTTCCAGATCGCTGAGAGTGTCAGGGGACACCCCCCCGCCAGGGGTTCTCGGACCACACTATCCTAAGGCATTCATTTTATGTGCATATTTATCAATACGCGCGCACACCCAGGCACTGCTATTCCCTTTTGAATAAGCAACGCAGGGAGCAGAAGAAGGGTAAAAATGGTACGCCAAAGGAATAAAATTCCCAAGGACCGGATTAGGGATTGGATTAGGAATAGAAAATTGGGCGGTACTCCAAATCCCATGTACCTTAGCCAACATAGCCAATGGTGGTAGCGTCCGAGCACAACAGCATCTTGGAAGCCCAGTTATTAAGAGGTTCCCCAACGCTACATTCTTATGATTCCCAGACTCCAGTTTTGCACTAGTTTTGCAAGTCCCGTTCCTCTCTGCAACTGTGAATGGACTACACGCCTTCCTTCCCCCACCCCAACCTCCTCCCCCTAATTTAGACCTCCCCAAAACCATGATCCGGGACCCATTCAAAACCAGACTTACTTCTTGCAACCCGGGCCTCTTTTCCGCGCTCCCGACATGCAACTCACACAGGAAAAGGAGCCGACGCCGAGAGGTGGACTGCGCCGATCGCTTCCTGCTCGCCGGGAGGGCCGGCTGGTGTGAGGGCGCTGCCGCGGATCCTTGACCCCTGTTGCCCCGATGCGATCCTGGTGAAGGTGAGTCCTTTGGGTCGAAACATGCAAGCGCCCCGGCAGCAGCCGGGTTGGACAAACCGGAGGAGTCTTGCGGTCCGGGGTGGGGCGGGTTGGCGGGCTGGCAGCGCCGCCCTGTCTAAGAATAAAGCCCCGGAGGAGCTTCACCCAGCCCTGGGCATGATCCTGGGGTCTTTGGAGAAGGAGACCCTGGCGAAGGGAGCGCCGGGTTTTGTTGTGCCAGCTTGGGAAAGTGTAGGAAGATCATAAACCGAATGTATTTATGTTTGATAAGCCGCTCCAGTTCTAAAACGCAGCAATCCGGTTGAAAAAGAGAAAACTATATATATAAAAATATATGATCCCAAAATGCACCAAGTAGGCACAATTAGCAACAGTTCATATACAGAATTCCACCACCATCCCGCCGGACGTCTCCTTTTTTGCCTATTGTCTAACGTCTGGCTCTTTGTCTAGTCTTTATCTAATCATATATTTTATTTGTCATCCGTTCATGCATAAATCCATCTATCTATCTTAAACATTCCCATACTGTAACCACAACACTTAATTAGGAAGAAATTAACCTATCCATTCTCCCATTGTGGCTGTACAATTAGACCTCCACTTATGACCTCAATTGAGCCCAAACATTTTATTGCTAAGTGTGACAGTTATGAAGTGAATTTTGCTCCATTTTACAACCTGTCTTGCCACAGTTGTTAAGTGAAACCGCAGTTGTTAAGTGAGTGACACTGTTGTTCAGTGAATCTGGTGTCTCCATTGACTTTGCTTGTCAGAAGATTGGGGATGACCTGACCCCGGGACACTGCCACCGTCATAAATATGAATCAGTTGCCAAGCATCTTGAATGTTGATCAGGTGACCGTCGGGATGCTACAAAGGTTGTAAGTGTGAAAAAAGGTCATGTGCAGAGGTGGTATTCAGCCAGTTCTGACAGGTTCGGGAGAACCGGTAGCAGAAATTTTGAGTAGTTTGGAGAACCGGACAATACCACCTCTGACTGGCCCCACCCCCATCTATTCTCTGCCTCCCAAGTCCCAGATGATTGGCTGGGTTTTCTTTTGTTGCCCTGCCCAGGAGAATGGAGCTGGAAAGCAGGTTAGTGGGGTGGGGAAGGAATGGGGATTTTGCAGTATCCTTCCCCTGCCATGCCCACCAAGCCACACCCACAGAACCGGTAGTAAAAGAATTCGAATACCACCACTGGTCACAAGTCTCTTTTTTCACTGCCGTTGTAACTTCACTGTAAGTTGAGGACTACATGCAAAGGCAGGGCATGACGCAAAAAGAATTGTATTAAGAAATTAGAAAACTGGCATTATTCAAGAGATAAAGAAAGGATTGTGATGTATCAGTTTTGGAAAAGGCAGTATTTTGCACTAATTGAAGAATGCAACAATATGTGTTTCTATGGCAGAGAATCTGTGATCTGACAGTAATATATTGTTCAGACTATAATAGCAAATTTATTGATATTCCAGTAGCTATTGATAAATATAAGTTGATCAGATATTAGAGGTTTTCGTTTCTTCTTTCCCTTCTTAGTTTGTTTTTTTAGTTTTTTTATTTTCTTTTTAAAAACAAAATATTGTTTTTGTTACAAGAAATAATAAAATAAACCTGTCAAATCTTGAAGAGACGCCAACTTAATAGCTTTTCAAAGCATGGGGCTATTCTGGCATTAAATTTTTAAATCGCATTAGATCAATGTTTTTTCAAACTCGGCAACTTTAAGATGTGGTGGCGGTTTCTATTCCCAGAATTCCCCCAAACTGTTGATGTCCACACATATTGCTTAGTTTGAAAAATTCTGAATTAAACAATCTCCAAATTATTGAACTGGTAAGTCATGGGTGATTTGATGGCATCTAAAGTCACGGTATTTAGAATAGGAAAATCTGCAAACAGATCCTTAGTTCTCGTTCTCTTCCTGAGAGGAAAACAACAGCAACCAGATATTGGCAGGGATCTTTTGCCTACAAATTGTAGCTTGTGTTTTCTAGACTGCCTGTTTTAAAATTAAAACTTTTTCCTCATTGGTGGAAAGTTTCACCTGCCATTTTGCGTCCGGAAGTAAGACCAGAAGGAGAACGCTCAGGCATCAAAACATTTGCTGTTTATCGGGGCATTTTCTTTATGGGAAATTTGCCTAGAAAAAGTCAAGTCTGTCAAGACGTTGCAAATGGATTCCCCCATATTACCATCCTGTCAAATTTGCTGTACAGGTAGTCCTCAATTTACGACCAAAATTGGAACCAGAATTTCCATTGCTATGAAAGATGATTGTTAAGTGAGTTCTGTCCAATTTTATGGCCTTTTTGCCCCAGCTGTTAAGTGAATCACTGCAGTTGTTAAGTGAATCATGCATTAAGCAAATCTGGTTTCCTTCGTTGGCTTTGCTTGTCAGAAGCTGGCTGACAATGGTTTGCAAATGATGATCGCATGACCCCAGGATATTGCAAATAAATACCGTACTTTTCGGACTATAAGAAGCACCTAGGTTTAGAGGAGGAAAGCAAGAAAAAAAATAGTTTTTTAGCTCCACACGTCCTGTTTATGCCCTCCCCGGCGTCCAGAAGCACTCTGCAGGCCGAAAATGGGCCAATTTTTGGTCTCCGGAGGCCTCCGGCATCAGGGAGGCCGAAAACGGGACATACTGAGAGTTTGGTAGGCCAAAATTTGGCCTGTTTTTGGCCTGCAGAGTGCTTGCTGGATGCCGGGGAGGGCAAAAATGGGATGTGCAGAGGGTTTGGGAAGCCAAAAGCAGGCCTGTATTCACTCTATAAGACACACAAACATTTCCACCCAGTTTTTGGGGGGTGGGGGTGGGGGAGGGAAAGTGAGTCTTATAGTCTGAAAATTACGGTACATGCTGGTTTCAAAGCACCTAAATTTTGATCATGGGACCATGGGGATGCTGCAGTGGTCATCACTGTGAGGACCAGTCACAAGTCACTTTTTTCCATACCATTTTAACTCTGAACAGTCACTAAACAAATGGTTATAAGAGGAGGATTATCAGGTGATCCTAAACATTATACCACAGATTTCTGGGGGTATGTTTTAATTCATAGACTTTCCTTTTAAAAATGTGGTTTCGTGCTTATTCCGTTCACAGCGAGCATACTATTTTTACTGAATTCACCAGATGTTTTGTCTTTGTACTATTGCAGCCTTTGCAGAAAAATGTCCTGGTAATGAAGGGTAGCGGTCATGACGGAGTCAGTGATGAAACTCCAGAGAGTTCAGCTGAAATGCAAGAACCTTCATGAATACCTGCGGGGCCTGAGCCCCGGGATTTTGGATCGGCTGTATAATCATCCTGCCACTTGCCTTGCTGTCCTTCGGTCAGTGAGAATCTCGCCTGTCCTGAAATATTAGAATATAGGTCTTGTATCAGCTGAGGGTCAGATTGGGGTAGAAATGTAAGTAGATTTTAACCTCCAGAGGTAGTATTCAGCAGGTTCTGACTAGTTCTGGAGAACCGGTAGTGGAAATTTTGAGTAGTTCAGAGAACCGGCAAATGCCACCTCTGACTGGAGATTTTACAGTATCCTTCCCCTGCCACACCCACCAAGCCATGCCTACAGAACCAGTAGTAAAAAAATTTGAATCCCACCACTGTTAACTTCATGTGTTTGAAACCACATTTTATAGATAATTAGTTGCTCCTGGTTCCAGACTGCTTGACCCAGGGTTTCTACAGAATAGACTGTCAGACCTGCCACCACTGAAACCTCTAAATCAGGGGTATCAAACTCAGGGCCCGGGGTCTGGATCCGGCCCACAGGGCCACCCTGAAAACAGTGAAGGACCGGCCTGTGGTGCCTCTGCCAGCAAAAATGAAGCTCAGGGAGGCAGCACAAGGCCCGCCCAGGCTCCGTTTTTGGCCACAGTGGCCTCCTGCAGTCCTCTGCCAGTGAAAATGGAGACCCGGGGAGGCTGAATGCTCCATTTTCGCTGGTAGAGGGCTGCAGGATGCGGTCACGGTTGAAAACGGAGCCTTGACGAGTGACATCAAGTTGGCCACACCCACCTTGGCCACGCCCCTCCAGCCACCACTCCCTGATGAGACACAACCCTGATGCGGCCCTCAATGAAATCGAGTTTGAACCCACCCACCCTGCTCTAAATAGAAATGACCTTTGGCTCCATTTGTTGAGGAAAGTATGGTTTTCTTAGAAGAAAAGGGCATTGCAGTAGTGCATAGCCAGAACTGAGCATCGCTTGCCAAAATCCCTAAATTCAACTACTCCCTCCCTTAGCTAATTCCCATTACCTCTACACACACACAAACACACACATGTATATGAGCAGTCAGCTTTAGAAAGGATATTTTTGTATGTCACCGTAGTTCAGATGGAAGCAAGCATTAAAGTGGCAGCTGACGCAGACTTTGGCAGACCATGCCTGGCTAGGGGAAAAAACAACAACAACAACTCATATCTTGTGTGTGTGACCCTGATCTTACATTCTTCCCTTCTCAGGGAACTGCCTGGGTTAGCCAAAAATTATGTCATGCGGATGCTTTTCTTGGAACAGCCTCTTCGTCAGGCAGCTGTGGCCCTGTGGGTGAAGAAGGAATATGTCAAGTAAGTTTATAGCTCTAGCCCTGATTGCGTAGCAAATTTTTTAAAATAAAAATTTTAAAAAAATACGGTCACTGCTCAAATGAACATTGAAATGAAAGTCTGCGTTGCATTGAGGTATTCCGTAAGCAGAGACGTGGCTGGCTGGTATAAATAAAACTCGTGTTTATTTTCATTTATTTAATAAACTTGTTCACAGCCTCAATTACAAATGACATCTTGAGATTTTACATATTAGGATTAAAATAAGAAAAAAAAAACCTCAAAAGCCACAACAGCAGCAACATAATAATAGAAGATAATATTTGTAGGTGAGGGTGACCTGTGGAGTTCTTGGCGCTCTCTGAGCTTGTTTGTTTTCATGCAGACATTTCCTTACCCAACTAGGTAATACCATCAGTGCTAAAAAGGAGTGGGATTTACTCTCTGTTTATATACAGTGCCTTGCCCTGTCAGTGTTGGTGGGACTGTTGTTGCTTTCTCCTTGATTAAGGAACTACCTTGATTAAAGAACTACCATAATCACTCTTAGTTGTCTTAAACTTAACTAACTACGGTAACTACCTTAATCAAGGAGGTACACTTCCTGATGGGCTCCGGTGTTTCAGGGAACAAGAGGAGAGCTCGGATATCCTGCTAGGACTGCGCCTTTGGCACACACAGTTGCTCCCAGGAGGCCTCGAAGGGATCGTCTTGAACCCCATCTTCAAAGAAAACCTGCGCATTGCTCTCTTGGGAGGGTGAGTAAAGGCCATCCAGATTCTTGAGGTTGGAGAGTGAAGGCAGAAGCTCACAGAAATTACTGCACTGGCTGAAGATGAGGGTAATTTCAGTTCTCTGAAAGGGGCGTTTTTGGGATCCTGCCACTTCGCAGATAGGGAGCAAACCGGCTATTAGCAATATACTAATGTTGAGCCACATTAGGGCAGTGGTTAGAATGCAGTGCTGCAAGCTACTTCTGCTGACTGCCAGCTGCCTGCAATTTGGCAGTTCGAATCCTTACTCCTGAATAGGACATTAGTAGTGCTATCCTTAAGTTACAGCCCAGTGGGGGTATTCAAATAAAGTTGCCACCGGTTCGGTGAACGTAGCTTGGTGGCCAGGCTTTGCGCACATGCACACACTTTGGGTGCACGCGTGCGCCAAACACGCACTTTGCGCAGGCGCAGAGGCATTCTAACTTGCCTCCTGCAAGCCTGCACTATGGTAGTCGCTGAAGCAGCTGCTGCACGGCGCTATTTTGCACCACACAAAGCAGCTGCGCTTTGAATTCTGGCCATAAAAGTGAGTATAGGAGCCCTTGCGTGTGGGTGGGCTGACCACAGAACAGCAAAGAGAACCGGTTCGGTCTCCACTGCTTATTGCCGCTACTGGTTCTCCAGAACCGGGCAGAACCGGTCGAATACCATCACTGTTACAGCCTATAAATAGTAATGGGGTTTCTTACTTTTCAATTCTGTATCCACAGAGGTAAGGCCTGGTCTGATGATACTAGCCAACTGGGCCCAGATAAGCATGCCCGAGATGTCCCATCCTTGGACAAGTATGCAGAAGAAAGGTGGGAGGTGAGCATTTTGTCTTGTCTAAATAGCCTGATTTGTTATGGATGTGTTTATAGGTAGTCCTTGACATACAACCTTGTGTTTGGTGACTGATTGAAGTTAGAGTGGCATTGAAAAAAGTGACTTATGACCAGCTCTCACACTTATAACTGGTGCAGCATCCCCGACCATAGGATTGCCATTTGCAATCTCCCCAGCTGTCTTCCAGCATGCAAACTCAATGGCGGAAAGCCAGATTAACTTCATGACTGCATGCTTTTTACTTAACTGCAGTAATTTGCTTAACTATAGCAACAAAAAAAAAACAGTCAAAAAATTGGGTGTGGCTCAATTAACAACCGCCTTGCTTAGCAACAGGGATTCTGGTCCCAATTGTGCCGATAAGTTGGGAACTACCTGTATTAATCTTCAAATGACTGACTTTGTTGCAGTGTTCTCCTACCTCTTGCCAGTCAAGTCACCAAGACTGCTTCTTCCTCTCCTTCCTTCTCTGGATTTAATTCAACAGCCCTCCTTTTGGGAAAACACCAGGTTAATCATGCAAAAAGAAGATCTTCTGATATGGCTTGGTTAATATTGTCCTTAGCATTTTAAATTTTCTTGGAATCAAGAGTATTTAAAATGGTATGTTTCCTTCTATAGAGGATTAAACTCCTGAAACTTCCTGTTTGAATTCATTCATGATGGAATATTATTGTGTTTCCTTTTCACCAGGCCTAGGATGGACATCCATGTTTCTCAATTCCACACTAACTCTCCCTTTATCTAATGTGATCCTACGGGTCTTTTAGTAGCATTTGCAGTTGTCTATTGCTTTATAGTTTCAGCTGGGAGTAGTTGCCATTACAAGCCAGGATCCCTCCAATTGGGTCTATCCTAGAATTCTGCCCATCAAAGCAGTAGACATGATGATGATGAATCATGAGGGGAATTGCAACCATTTGTAGAATCTGCAGTGACTTTGCATATGGCGTGTAGCACACAATGAATGGACTAGCAAACACCATTGTGGACCTACTTCCACAGAGACCACAGTTTTCTTCCCTTTCTTCGCATTGTTCCCTCTAGGTCATCCTGCATTTTATGGTAGGCTCTCCTAGTGCAGCGGTGAGTCAGGATCTGGCTCAGCTGCTGATTGAAGCTGGCCTGATGAAGAGGTAAGCGTTTCAGGGAGAGGCGGACATGCCGATACCTCCCCAAAGGGTAGGATTTTCTCTTGAGTTACTCTTCTTCTTCTTCTTAGTAGCGAGCCTGGAGAACCTCCGTGCATCACATCCTCTGGCTTCCAGTTCCTGTTGCTGGATACTTCATCACAGCTGTGGTACTTCATGCTCCAGTATCTCCAATCAGCAGAGGTGAGGAGAAACAATGACCTGACGTCTTGCCACCTCAGCTCTGGTTATTCTGTCCATTTCTTGTTTCTGCTTCTAATTCCCCCCCTTTCCCCCCTTTTTGCATCCCTCTACAGACCAGGGGCATGGACTTGGTGGAGATTCTCTCCTTCCTCTTTCAGCTGAGCTTCTCCACACTTGGCAAGGTGAGAAGGATTAGAAGAAGGAACTTCTCCTTTATCTTTGGAGCAACGTTCGGTGATGAGAAGTTGGGCTACATATCAGATCACTACAAACAACAATAACTGAGCAAAGTAGTTGTTGCCATTGTGGTGCTCTGCAGAAGTTTAGAATTACTCCGTAAAAGGAAAAGTATGGAAAAGTCCCATAATTAAAGCATCTGAAGAACAGTAGCTGCTTGGGGAAAATCTCTCCATCCCCTCTCATATTGTTTACAATGTCATCCCTTTATTGTAATTTTTTTTAACATGAATAAGCCCCTTATTCACCCTTGCAATACCCTAGGACCTAGGAAAATATGAACTATTCCAATTGCAACTGTTTCATTGATATCTCTGAAGGCTTCGTAGCCCTTTGCAATGCTTTCATAATATTTTGTGGGCAGAGGAGTTCCTTTTCTAATGTTTTTTCCACTGAGTTTCAAGAGACCACTTTCGACAACTTGTCATGTCAACAAAACCGCTTTGTGTTTATGATCTATTCACCAGTGATGGACAGGGTCCTCTATGTAACAGAACAATAGGGTTAATCTTGAATATGAGGATTGGCAGTCTCCATTTGTAGTAGCTTAATAGCAATAGCACTTAGATTTATATACCGCTTCACAGTGCTTTACCCGCCTTCTATGAGTGGTTTACAAAGTCAGCATATTGCCCCCAAAGAATCTGGGTTCTCATTTTATCAACCTCAGAATGATGGAAGGCTGAGTCAACCTTGAGCTGGTGAGGTTTGAACTGCTGGCAGCTGACAGTCAGCAGAAGTAGCCTGCAGTGCTGCATTGTAAACACTGTGCCACCACGGTTCTTAAGTAGATTAGACTTAAAGGAGATTTTGTTTCAAGTCCCTGCTTGATCGCCAAAACTACTGAATCACTCTGAACCAATCACTTAAACAGCCTGAACTCTACATTACAGGGTTTTTTTTGTGTGGGTAACATTAGAAGAAAGCAAAAGCTGTCAGAGAAAAAGTGAGAATTTAGAAATAAAGAAAGCAAATGTTATAAACATAACAGAAAACCTGGCTTTCTTCCAATGAACACAAGGATTGTTGTACACCAGGTTGATTCATGAAACTATGCACACTGGCTTTGATTAGGAGTAACTTTGAACTAACATTGGTTCAGTGCAGAAATGGTGCATTTGCTGAATGCTCAGTTTAAATTATGATTTAAATCACAAGCATAGCTTAATTGTTCAAGAAACAAAGCATGAATGATAGGTGCCCAGAGCATTTATCCCTTAATAAGTGCATCTTCCATTGATGACTCTTACAGGTTAATGAGCAGAAGAATTCTTTCATGGCCTCTCAATATGATTTGATTGGATATTCATAGCAATTTATCCACTGGTCCTTAAGCATTGACCAATCAAGATGTTTGTGCAACATACTTGCCTATGAATAAATTATTTTCCAATTTCTTTATTCTCAGGATTATTCCGTGGAAGGAATGAGTGATTCTCTTCTAAATTTCCTTCAGCATCTCCGGGAATTTGGCCTGGTGTTTCAAAGAAAGGTACAACACAGTGGGGGGATTATATGAGGAGCTGAACCAGAGTTTTAAAAAACACAAATTGTCAGATGTTAGAGGTATTAAGGACTTCTTCAAGGATCTTGTGAGTTAAAATGGTAGGTTTGTCTTCTGAAAGATAAATGGTCAGACAGCTCTGAATTTGCCACTAACTTGTTGCTAATATCTTTCTTTGCAGAGAAAATCCAGACGTTACTATCCCACCCGCTTAGCTATTAATCTTTCCTCCGGCATCTCAGGTACCACCGTGGATACCCATAACCAAGGTTTCATCATGGTGGAGACCAACTACAGGATCTATGCATACACAGGTCTGAAACAACATCGATTTCCATTCTTCAAAGGCCCACCCCTCTTCTAATCCAGAATTGGGAATCAGTACCTCCAACCCATCTTTTTAAAAAAATTATCTTGATTGTATAACACAAGATAGCTGAGATTTTGCTTTACTGGTTGTGGGGAAAGCTTATTTAGCCAAGATTGCTTTCTCTTATGTGACATAGGACAATATTTATCAATTTGTCTTCTGATATAATTCAACTTCTGAAAAAAAATGTGGGGATGATGACCACCCCATTAAATTTACACCCCTTGCTAGGTTTTTGTCTTTAAGAGCCGGGGAGTTTCCATTCTTTGAAATAAACAACCTTACCTTCCATCCCTTGTTTTAAAAGGCGTCTTTTAGATTAAACTTTGTACCAAAAGATGTAATTCAAAATTAAATAATAATTTGTCCCCTTGGGTGGGTGGGTAGGTTTGGTGAGGCAATGCTGGCTGAGGAATTCTGGGAGTTGTAATTCACACATCTTAAAATGGCCAGGGTTGAGAAACACCAATCTATTTCAAAGACACCAGGCTGGAGAAGGCTGCTCATGTGTTTTAAAGCAGTATTCCTGAAGTTCAGCCACATTAGGATGTGTGGACTTCAACTCCCAGAATTCTTCAGACAAGTCACAATTGCGAGCTTGTGGAACAGGACTGAGAAATTTTGGGAGTTGAAGTCCACACACCTTTCAAGTGGCTGAGCTTGAGAAACCTTGTCTTAGACTGGGTGAAACCAGGCTCAATAGCAGTAACAGTGAGAGGGATCTCGGAGTCTTAGTGGACAATCAGCTAAATATGAGCCAGCAGTGTGCAGCAGCAGCAGCCAAAAAAGCTAATACAATTCTAAGTTGCATTAACAGAGGGATACAATTGAGATCAAGTGAGGTACTAATACCACTCTATAAAGCCTTAGTAAGACTACACCTAGAATACTGCATCCAGTTTTGGTCACCACACTATAAAAAGAATGTTGAGACTCTAGAAAAAGTGCAGAGAGGAACAACCAGGATGATTAGGGGACTGAAGACTAAAACATGAAAATGGTTACAGGAACTGGGCATGGCTAGTCTAGTGAAAAGAAGGACCAGGGGAGACATGATAGCAGAGTTCCAATATTTGAGGGGTTGCCACAGAGAGGAAGGGGTCAAGCTATTTTTCAAAGCACCCAAAGGCCAGACAAGGAATAATGGATGGAAACTGAACAAGGAGAGATTTAACCTGGGAATAAGGAGAAACTTTCTGACAGTGAGAACAATCAACCAGTGGAACAGCTTGCCCTCGGAAGTTGTGGGAGCGCCAGCACTTGAAACTTTCAAGAAGAGATTGGACTGCCATTTGTCAGAAATGATGTAGGGTCTCCCGCTTTTGTGGGGGGTTGGACTAGATGACCTATAAGGTCCCTTTCAACTCTGATTATCTGTTATCTATTAAAATGTTGCATTTCCCTCTCTCTGTGCTTCCTTCCAGATTCAGAGCTACAGATTGCACTAATTGCCCTCTTCTCTGAGATGCTGTATCGCTTCCCTAACTTGGTGGTGGCGCAAGTCACCCGGGAGAGCACACAGCAGGCCATTGCCAATGGTATCACCGCCGATCAGGTGAGGATACGTTTAAAGGGGACTTTGGAGTCGTGCTCTGCTTCTCTCGGTTGGTTGGGTGGCAATTAAAACTCGAATGACCCAAATTCGCCAAGTTTCATTATCCTCTTTTCCTACAGATCATTCACTTCCTACGAACAAGAGCTCACGCCGTGATGCTGAAACAGGTGAGAAAATAGCTACAGGAGATGAAGGCAGAAGGCACCTGGGGGATTAGGGCATCCAAGAAAAACGTTGCCCTTTGTAACGGTTTATCTTCTGTTTAATAAAGCTGGTGCGATACTTAGGCTAGCTTAAGTATTGCAGCACCTAAGACATTCCGAAAGGCATCCCCAGAACCCCAAAATTAAGTTTTTTAAAAATACATTGGTTTTATGCTAGTTAAAAAGTTGAACCATTTTTTATTTAATTTGTAAAATTTATTGGCCACCCATGTTTCCACAGGATAAATCTGGGCAGTTTACAATCTTAAAAAGATAAAACACGATACAAAACCTAAAAGACATAAATAAAACACTGTCAAGATCCTAAGAAACTGTGTATAAAAAGATTGCTAAGCCTTCTGTGGAGAAAGCCCAATATGGGGCTTAACCCTGATCCCAAATATGAAATATAGATTAAAACAACAATCTTGAACTTTTCTGGCTGGACATCCTGGGGCAGGGCGGGGGGGGGGTTTTCTGTGTGAGTGGTTAGTGCGTGCACAGCTCCATTTGTGTGAGTGGTGGGTACGCACACCCACCAGACGTGAGGGGAACTACACATGAGCGCAAGTTCGTGCAAGGGAAGCTGTGTACACACATACAGTCGCCTGAGGCTTTTTGCGGCCTAGTTACAAATAGGCCACAGCTCTGTTGTGGATCCCTGGATTAAAAGGCTCAGGGGAAATAGGGGTTGGTCAATTCTAGAGGAAAATGCAGTGGGAAGATTGACATAAATATTTTGCTAACTTTTCCACTCTCCTCTCCACAGACCCCTGTGTTGCCCCCCACAATCACAGATCAGATCCGGCTGTGGGAGCTGGAACGGGACAGACTGCGCTTTTCTGAGGGTGAGCATCTCCAAGAGATGGGACAGGCGGTCAGGAGAGGAAGCGGTAACCGTGAGAAGAATACTAATAGGATGTCCAACTTGGACAATTACAGTTTGGCAGATTCCCCAACCTGGTTTCCTCTCCCAGTGGGCTGAACTCCAGTGGGACCATTAGCCAAACCGTCCGGGCATTAATCTTTAGTCCAATATAGATGTAGTCTTCAGCTTATGACCACAATTGAGATCATAATTTCCATTGCTAAACAAAGCGACTATTAAGTGAGTTGCAGCCAATTTTATGACCCGGTGTTTAAAGCAAATCACTGCAGTTGTAAAGTGAATGATATGGTCATTAAGTGAATCTAGTTTCCCCCCATTGGCTCTGCTTGTCCAAAGCCTGCTGGGAAGCTTGCGAATGGAGAACCCATGAGTCTGAAATGCTGCATTGTCACAAATACATGCTGGTTGCCAGGCGCCTGAATTTTGATCATGTGGCAACGGGGATGCTGTGATAGCAATAACTGTAAGGACCAGTCCTAAGTCACTTTTTTCAGTGCTGCTGTAACTTCAAATGGCCATTAAACCAATGGTTATAAATCAAGGACGTCCTATACATCAGAGGGGCACCAGGTTTGGTCATTGGCTACAGTTCTTGTTTATCTTCATTTCTGCTTTCTTTAGTTTTACTTAGATGGGTATTTCTCAGCCTTAGTATCTTTCAGAGGTATGGATTTCTAATCCCAGAATGCCACAGCCAGCCTTGCTGGCTTAGAATTCTGGGAGTTGAAGTCCATTCATCTTAAAGTTGCCATGGTCCAAATGCATTGCCATGGTCCAAATGCATGGTCCCAAATTCAATTGGGTTTGTCAAACTCAATTTCATTGAGGGCTTCATCAGGGTTGTGTTTGACCATGGGGGCTCGGGTGGGTGTGGCCAGGGTGGGCATGGCCAGCTCCATGTCACTCGTGTCAGAGGCGCCTGTAGTGGCCCGAGTGCAACCCTCTGTCAGCGAAAACGGAGCTCAGGAGAGCCATACATGGACCTCACAAGCTCTGTTTTCGGCAGTGACAACCTCCTGCAACCCTCTGCCAGCAAAAACGGAGCTCGGGAGAACCGCAGGCGGCCCTCCTGAGCTCCATTTTTACTAGCAGAGGCACCGTGGGCTGGTCCTTCACTGTTTCCATGGCAGCCCCACGGGCCAGATCTAAGCACCCCGCAGGCTGCATCTGGCCCCCAAACCTTGAGTTTGACACCCCTGCCTTAGCTTCCTAGACTTCCTACTCAGCGTTGGGATCTCATTCAAGATCCCTTCCAACCCTTGTTATTCTGTTACCCTTCTTAGAAAACCTCCAGTGATGGAGCACTTACCATTTCTGAAGGCATTCCACAGATGGATGGTTCTCATTGTCAGGAAATTCCTACTTAATTCTAGACTGGATTTATTAAAATTAAATTGAAATTAAAATGTGAATTTTAAGTTCTCCAGGAGAGTGTCTATTTCCCGGACCATGTCTAGGGCTCTGCGTACAGCCAAGCAACCATATTCTCTGTGGTTGGGTCACGCCAGTTACAGGGGCTGTCACGATTATTATTTTAAAAGGAGGAGTTGGCTCTAATGTCCACAAAGAGGATGGAGATATAAAGAGGCTCTAATCTGTGCCCCTTTTCTTCCATCCTTATTCCTCTTTTGCCACATATTGCTGCCCCCGGCCTCTTTTTGCACGTCAGTCTCTTTCTACGTTCCCAGCATCTTCTCCTTGCATGTCTTCCTGTTCATCTTTTCCTCCAACTCTTTCCCACAGGTGTCCTGTACAACCAGTTCTTATCCCAGGTGGACTTTGAGCTGCTCCGTGACCATGCTAAGGAACTCGGGGTCCTCGTTTTTGAGAACCCAATCAAGCGTCTCATGGTGGTCACTCCCGCCGGCCATTCAGACGTCAAGCGCTTCTGGAAGCGTCAGAAACACAGTTCCTGAAGACATTGGATTGTACCTCCATGTTCTTCCGATCATGCTTGTCAGAAAGTGGACCAAACAGAAAGGCGGATATATCTTTCCTCCCCATTACTTTGAGTGGATGCAAGGCAGGCGGAGAGAAGAAAAACAAGGATGGCTGACTGATCATCCCCTTTTCAGCCAAAAACAGATTCGAAACTTGGTTGTTTTTTTTTTAAAGAACAAAAATGGCAATTGGTTCAGTGTAAGTGTCACCTTTCCATCAACTCTCTCTGGTAGGAATGACACCCTGACTGAGATAACAATACTGGCACTGAAATAGAAGTCCAATAAAATGCTTTGAGAAAATAGAAACCGCAGGAGCAAAGCCATCTCAACGAAACTAAAAGTCCAGAAAGTTTGTTGGTGGAAAGTTACTAAAGTTGAGAGGATGTTCCCTGCGTGGTTGAATACTAAATCTTCAAGGTGCCAGGGAGTTCTAGTATCAGACTGTCTACAACCTGGCGCCATCCAACTATTTAGATGCTTCCTACCTTCTTCCTGAAACCTGTCTGGGGAATGATAGAAATTGGAGCCCACTACATTTGGAATGCAACACGTTGAAGAAGGATGTCCAAAAAAAAAAGTGTTAAGCAATTAGCATTTTTATTCTTTAAATGGATTGACCCTCTCAACGGGTGCAGAAAGAAGAGACAGCCTTTCATTTTAGATTTATAGAAACTGCTAATTAGTAACAAAGCACAGCTTACGTTCAGGTTGCCTTGTTCTAATAAGACATGTGTTTTTATAGGGGTGATTCAAGGTATTTTTCTATCCATGTGTGAATGAAGACAAACCTCTATGCAGAAGCTGGGTTTCCACATTGCACTACTAACCCATATTGTGATTAGTTTGGCCCTAACATAATGTGTTCAGCATACCAAATCTCCCTATCCTGATCCAGTGATTTGCCTAATTTGATATCAATTTAATATTCCATCATTGGGGTCTACCATTTGTTTTCTAAAAAACAATGCCAAATCCTCAGATGTTTCACCATGAATCAGCACTGTAACTCCAGCCTGAAGGTGCTGTGATTTTACTTGTTCCTCCTCTACCTATGAGGGAGATTTCTGTTGAAGTTAAGCAGATAAACCTGTTCACCAATCTGTCCTGTGTTGGTGAACTTGTGGAATCCTGTACGCACAATTGAAATCCTCTGTTGAGATGGACAGGTCAAGTCAACGGGTTCCTCGTTCCACTTCTTTTATCTGAAATTCAGATGCTGAATTAAAACTAGCTGAGAAATTGTGGGGATATCTTTAGGTTTTTATTCTGCATCCTAAATTTGCCATCTCCAAACATTGCAGAGGATATGGTACTATTTTATATGTGGGAAGCTGCGCTAGGTGGCTTATGGGTGATTGTAAAGAGGAAGTGGGAAACTTTTATGTATGTCAAACAAATAAATGCGATTTTTTAAAAAACAAAATAAACTACCTTGGCTATATCCCTGTACTCAGAGGCTCTGTCATTCTAAAAGTAAAGAATAAGGCTAGCAAATGTAGTAATTACTAGAGATGAGTAATCTAGAAATTCTCATTCCTGGCAGCTAGTAAAATTCTTAGTTCTCATACATGTTTTGTATCGCCGAAAGGGAATTCCCCAATCTGAGGTTTGCCAAATTGCTTTAGTGAATTTTTCCTATTGTGATACAAACTTACGATGACTTTATGTAAACTCCCCTGTTCGTCTGCTTTGGGAAAAATTCCCAGCTAGGCCAGCCTCCCTCATTTCCTTGACTGGCCAGAATGTGGGAATTGTATTCTGCTGTCCACCAGTCCTTCTGAAATGATCTTCCTTGAGCCTAAAGCCACCATCTTCCCAAACAGATAGACCACCCTGTGGAAATTAAGCAAAGAAGGTGGTGACATGAAAGGCAGCTCAGTCTAGTGGTTAAAGCGCCAGGCTAGAAACCGGGAGACTGTGAGTTCTACCTTAGCCATGAAAACTGGGTGACCTTGAGCTAGTCATCCCAGAAGCTTCTTCAGTTCTGACTGATCTTGCAGCCCGTTTGCCTTACAAGATTCAGCAGTATATCTGCATTTGAAAGACAAAGACCACTCTTTTGAAGATAGCAAAGTCCATAATCTGGACAGAGAGGACCACTGGTTTGAAAGAGGTGACAAAGAGGCTATATCAAAATTGAAGACCCCTCCTTCAACAGGATTGTCTTTTGTGCAGTGGGTAGAAGAAGTTATATGTCTATTGATGGCCAATTTGATACAGTGCCAGGCGTCCAGGAATTCTCTAGTATTTTGGACTTTGCTTGGTCTAGGATGGTCACAGTTTCTCAATTGAAACTATGGTTAGGTCCATAAGTTGTGAAATTAAAGTGTTTTCATCATGTCCTCTGACTGGCACTCAGAGAGCACCAAGGACTCCTCATTTCAGTTCTGAGCTCCTTTAAAGTAGAATAATTTGACCCAGCTCACTTGTACCTCAAGTGGGAATGCTGGGTTGATTTGCTCGATCCATCGGTTTCTTTTTCTGGCTGACCATGGTAGCCTCAGGAGTTTTCTCCAACATTAAAAGTTTCTAAGGTGTCAATACTTCCTATCCTGCTTCTTTAAATTCCAACTTTTGCTTCCATAGAGTGTCACAGGCAATACCATAATCTAATACTAATCACCCGAACACACAGAGATTGCTTACGTAAAGGGTTTACAAGGATCAATGTACTGCCACTGACCCGTCGATGGCAAGCACTGCTATCATGGGAGGAGATCCAACTGAGCTAATATTGGCTGTACACATGCCAGAGTTGCATTTGTAAGGTGCCACCTTCTCTCACCAGTATGCCAACATTTCTTTGCTGAAAGCATGTTACAAACTGGAGCCTCAGACATCCTTGGACTGAGGGAGGCCTGAGGATGGCAAGGCTATGAGGCCTAAAAGGGGAGCCCCACTCTATGGACTATCTTCCCACCTGAATTGAGATCTGCTCCCACCTATTGACCTTCTGGAAAAGCATCAAACCCTAAAAACTCTTGTCTGGCCTATCTCATAAAACATAGCCCAGAACAGTTGTGTGAACAGATCTTGGCTCCTTCTTTGGCCAGGTAACTACGCTGATCGATAAAGAAAAGACTTGGAATTATGTACCTCAATTTCAGTAAAGTTTTTAATCAGGCTGCATAGGGTGATTTCATGAACCAGCTGTTGAAATGTGATTTGAATGGCAGTGCAGTAAGGTGAGTCCACAACTGGATGGAAAACCATGTGCAGAGCATCAGCATTAATAGTTCTGTATCAGGTTGGAGAGGATGAACTCTGTTTACATAGGACTTAGAGTTTTAAAAACAAATTAATTAGCATAGAACATAGAATCAGCACCGGAAAGGACCTTAGAGGTCTTCTGGTCCAGTGATTGCCAGGGACCACTGGTGGTCTGCAAGAAAATTTTGGTGGTCCACAGAGAAATGTCACCCCCAAAGCACTCCCCCCCCAAAGCAATTAATCCAGACTGCGCAGGAACACAAGGCTGCACCGCCCACATGGCCCTCCGAAACAGAAGGCTTGCGTCACTTGAATTGTGAACAACATGAGGTAGTGAGAGGAGGGAGGAAAGAGCACAGGGGGAAAACTTGCCCCACGCGCCTTGCCTGGCCACCAGGCTGCTGCTTTCTGCTGCTGCTTTTGGCTGCATGCAAGGAAAGCAGCTGCACTCTAAGACCAGGATGCCTGGTCCCAAAGATTCATTTCTGGCGGAGTTTGGGGGAGAGAAAGAAGACTTCTGCTGCTTTCCTTGCATGAAGCCAAAAGTCTCTCTCTTTCTCTCTCCCACTGAGAATGGAGCTGGAGACGGTATCCTGCAATCCCAAATAAAGAACGATCAATCGGTAGGAAAACAGGGTGGAGAATTTTCCTGCAGACTTTTTTGGGGATTTTCCCAGGGTCTCTGGATCGCTGGATTTAAAATTATGAGTTTGGTGGTCTCTGAGGTCCAAAAGGTTGGCAACCCTTGTTCTAGTCCAAGCTCTCAAGGCAGGAGACCTTATACCAAGGACTCTGATCTATTTTTGAAGACCTTCACTGATGGAGCACACAAAACTCCAGGAGGCAAGCTATTCCCTTGAGTAATCATTCTCACTATCAGAACATTTATCCTTCTAGCTTGGATCTTTCTTTAAAAAGCTTCCCCCCATTACTTCTTCACTGATGCCTTAGAAAATGAGTCAATCCTCTTTTTCTTTGTGACAGCCTCTAAAGTATTGGAAGGCAGCTATGATGTCCCCACTAATCCTTCTCTTTAATAAGCTAGTTACTAGACATACCTACTAGCTCCCGCAACTGTTTGTGATACCTGCTGAGTGCAGTTGGTTGGCCAATTGTGAACCTACAGGGTGGTGATGCTATCCTATATTTTTCGAATCCCCCAGTGAAGGGCCACCTCAGCTATCTGTTATTTGCTTTACTTGCTTTAAAATCTGGGCAGATGTTGTAATGGCTCTTTTCAAGGCCGTAGATTGCATATCAGAGATAGTGACTGTCCTTTGCTCTAGTCTACAGTTCTCTCACCCCATTTGAAGGAAGTTCTCTGTTTTTTCCGTGTCTTTGATCTTGGAGCCTTTTGCCAATATTTGCAGCTTCCTCCCCCTTCATGGACAGAATCCAGTTGGTAAATGTACCTTCCTGCAATATATAAAGTTGCTCTTTTCGTGATCATTTTTTTGTGAGCAGGGTAACATACAGCCTGGTCATCTCTGAAGCTGCTTTCTTCTTTCAAATAACAGATAGTCCAGTTAAATCTGACAAGTGAGTAAATCTGCAGAATTTTTTTTAAAAAACAGTTTTTTTTTCAGAGAATTAAAAGGTGATTTTTTAGGAAAGGGAATAGCATTTTTTGTTTTTGTTTTTTCTGGCTGGTTAATTCTATTTAGGTTAGTTAATTCTATTCCAGGCTAAACATAGGTAAAGAAACAACAATTTATTCAACCATAATAGGAAACGCCTGCTAGAATTTGAGACACAGAGAACAAGAGTGGAAAAGAAAAGCAGTGAGGAGAAAGCCCATACTGCGCTGCCATTTCTTTTAGATTCAGATATGTGCTTGCAAATTTCTACCATCTTTATCTAGCAATAAGACCTCTTAAAAATCAGTGGGAAATTCTTCTAGGTAGATGCAGATAGAATTGCATTTCCTAAAGCAATGGTGCAATTGTTCTGGATACATCATGGGAGGTATTATTTCTACTTTGATTTGCTTTAATATTGCTGACTGTACGGCTGACAGTTTTGGAATCTGTCTTGCTCCTGGAGGACAAATAAGAAATGCTTATGTTAGGCAGCCTAGAGTGCTTGCTGAGGAAAGCATGTGTGGATGGGAAAATATTAACATTAGGGCAGAGTTCCCCAACCTTTTTGGCTGTGGACCGCCAGGGGGGCGGTTAGAGGGGAACACACACATGCTGCTTGCGTAAATGGGGATGGATGCATGCTCACCTGCCACCTGCTCACCTGCCACTTCCACGGCCCGGTTGCAAAAGGTTCAAGCCTGGTAATGGGCCAGGTCGCAGGGGTTGGGCACCCCTGGGTTAAAGGGAATGTAGCTGTTCTAAAAAAATATTTTTGAGACTAGCTTTTGGGTAAAAGAAAATAGGAAATCCCACGGTGATAGAAAACCTGAGTTACTGGGTTCAGAGGCAGAAGCTGAAAGTCTGCTGTCTTACCTTTTCAGTCGTACCTGACTTTTTATAACATTGTTTCTCAACCTTAGCGACTTTAAGATGTGTGGACTTCAACTCCCAAAATTCTGGGACTTGAAGTCCACACATCTAAGTTTGCTAAAATTGAGAAACACTGATTTATAGCCTTTTATACATTTTATAGATCTCTCCAATTTTTTTCTTGATGTTTTACAATTTTGGTTAATGTTTCTAGGTTAAAAACAGCATCATTATTTTTGGTATTCTTTGCTGGTCTCTTATAAGTGCCTCCAACTATTCTTAGCATAACTGATTTTTCTAAGGAATTTTATTGCACAACATACCCAAAAGAGGGCACACTTACTTTTGTGATCCTAGGTTTTCAGTGACTCTTCTGGCTTGACATGGGCGGTGGATTTAAAACAAGATCAGAGCAGTAAAATGTTAATTTCGGGTCATTTTACATTGTTATTTATTTCAGTTATATCTTAAACCATAGTTTACAAGATAGGGATTTGTACACCAAGTTCTAGAATAGGATTCTGGAATAAGTTAGAAAGTTAGAACGCAAATAATATATAACAACACTGTATTGGAGAAGATCTACTAGCAATTCTGTGTAAAACTCTCCATTCGCTGAACAAATGGATCTTTAATCAAGAGTTCTAGAAGGTTGGAGATGCATCATGGAGAAGCGCAAAGTTGACTAAGTCATTACCTGCTCACCATTGGCATCCTCAGGAAAAAAAGGAGCACCACCATCACAATAATCATGAATCGGCATAAGGTGGGCTTATTCAGTATTGGAATAATCTTATATTGGTTGTCATTTTTTTCCAGGTCCACTGACTCGTCCTTCTGTTGCAATGCCTTGTCTGCTTTGCCCGTCTCTCTTGTGCTGCCTCCTCCTCGTCCTCCTCCCCTTTCCACTGGCCTCCAGTTCTGCTTCTAATGGAGACACAGTGGTCATAACCAGCAGTGGCCCTATTAAGGGCAAGCAGGTCCTGTCTGGCCTTGGATCTGTGACAGCCTATCTAGGCATTCCTTATGCTGAGCCTCCCCTGGGGAAGTTGCGTTTCCAGAAACCTCTTCCACATCAACCATGGAAGCAACCATTGGAAGCCACTAGCTTTGGCAATGCCTGTCCTCAATTTATTTTCCGGGATGTCCCTGAAGCTGAGATATGGTCTCCTAAAACACCACTGTCAGAAGACTGCCTTTCACTCAACATCTGGGTGCCACACCCACAACCTTCTGCCCCAGTGCCTGTTTTGGTCTGGATACATGGAGGAGGATATTTAATGGGCACGTCTTCTCTGGAGTTGTTCAATGGGGCATCCTTAGCTGCCACTGAGAATGTCATTGTGGTCACCATCAATTATCGCTTGGGAGCCTTAGGCTTCCTTTACTTTCCACCAGCTGCCCCAGGGAACCTAGGCTTATTGGACCAACAGCTGGCCCTGAAGTGGGTAAAAGAGAACGCAGCTGCCTTTGGGGGAGATCCTTCTTGGGTGACCATTTTTGGCCACAGTGCTGGAGGAGCTTCTGTGAATTTCCATCTCCTTGCGCCAAAAAGCCAGGACCTTTTTGCCCAAGCGGTGATACAGAGTGGAACAGCCAATGCCTTCTGGGCTTGGAGGTCTCCTGAGGAAGCCAAACAGATATCTCTGGAATTCCTTCATTTGCTAGGTTGCTCTGAGGACAATAAGATCAGCCTAGGGCACTGTCTGCAAACAAAAAATGTTTCTGAATTTATTCAGCATGAAATAGCTCTGTTCTTGAAAGGTGGCTTCCTTCTGAATTTTCCCTTCAGGCCAACCACAGATGGGGACTTTTTACTTGGGGAACCAGAAAAGCTCATGGAGGAGGGGCAAATTCAGGTCAAACCTGTCCTCATAGGTGAAACCTCTGATGAAGCAGCCACATTTGTCCACTATGTTTTCTCTAACGTCACCCACAATCTCATCAATCAGGAGCAGCTTCTGAAAGGGATACAGCTGTTGGTGCCAAATGCAACTGAAGATGTGGTTCAGAGTATAGCACTGAGGTACAGTGAAGGAAATCACAGTCCAGCAAAATACCGCTCCGCTCTGTCCTACTTCTATACAGATCGGATATTTACATGTCCATTCATTGAAGCTGCAGGAAATATCAGGAAAACGGGGAGTCCTGTATATGCGTATTTATTCGCACATCGCCCTTCATGGTCAGTTTGGCCTGAATGGATTGGGGCATCCCATGGTGCTGAGGTTCCTTTTGTTTTCGGGACCCTTGAATCAGTGATGCCTGTCAATCAAACAGAGGCTGAAGCCAGACTGAGCCATAAGGTGATGCACTACTGGGCAGAGTTTGCCAGAACTGGGTAAGTGGTTCACTATATTTCTATCAATTTGTATTTTAAATCCAAAGAAAGCCTCCCCCCGCATTCAACAAATGCATTTTACACCTAAAGTAATGCAGCCATAAAGTAATGCACTCTACTCCTTTGCCTATGTTTACAGGTTGTGTTAATACATGTAGTTCAGAGGTGGTATTCAGCAGGTTCTGACCCGTTCTGGAGAACCAGTAGCAGAAATTTTGAGTATTTCAGAGAATCGGGGCAAATGCCACCTCTGACTGGAGATTTTACAGTATCCTTCCCCTGCCACGCCCACCAAGCCACACCCACAGAACCAGTAGTAAAAAAAATTGAATCCTACCACTGATGTAGTTCATGATTTACGACCACAGTTGGGACTAGAATTTCTGTTGCTAAGCACGACGGTTGTTAAGCGAATGATGCCCAATTTTAAAATCTTTCTTACTGCAGTTATTAAGCATCACTGCAATTTTTAAATACAATATATGATTATGGGAATCCAGCTTCCTCCCTAACTTTGGCTTGTTAAAAATCAGCTGGAAAGATTGCAAATGGTGATCATGTGATCCCGGGACCTTGCAGCCATTGTAAATACATGCCAGTTGCCAACCAGCCAAATTTTGATCACGTGACCGTGAGGATGCTAGAATAGTTGTAAGTGCAAGGACCAGTTGTGAGTCACTTTTTTTCAGTGCCATTGTAACCTTGAATTGATGTTAAATGAATAGTTGTAAGTCAAGGACTACGTGTACTAGAAACAGCCCTGGAATTTTTAAGGATTCTTAATAATATCACTGACAGATCATTGTTCTTTTGTGAGTTCAGTGGTATCACAAATATGCCAGGGTACATTATTTCTCCAAGTGGAATAAAGAAGGCAAAAGGAAGAAAGGAAACAGGGTGTTGTTACTGTACCATTAAGAGAACAAGCAAAGGCTTGCAAGGGAATGAGTAGTAAAGGGGAAACTCACAAGATGGAGGGTGCCAGGGTGTGTGGAATGGGGGAACGGATTGGGACTGGCAGATCTAGGAGTCTATGGGGAGCTGACCTGGGATTGGATCAGCAAGGAGGAGACATAAGAGATTTCACCAAGCCAAACTCCACCCCTCCTTCAAAGTCCCCTTTGGCAGTTTCTCCCAAAGTTTGGTTGTAGTTTCTCAAGTCAAAGCCAGTCTCTTTGGAAAAGAGCTCCATCAGAATAACAGAATTGGAAGGGACTTTGGAGGTCTTCTAGTCTAATCCCCTGCTCAAGCAGGAGACCCTATTTCATTCTGGACAAGTGGTTGCCCAATCTCTTCTTAAAAACCTCCAGCAAAGATACGCATAACTTCTGAAGGCAAGCTGTTCCGTTGATCAATTGTTCTCACTGTCAGGAAATTTATCCTTATTTCTAGGTTGGCTCTCTCCTTGATTAGTTTCCATCCATGTCCTTTTCTTCCTCCTTAGGAATCCCACGGGGTTAGCAGCCACCAAGGATGAGTGGCTACTCTATAATGCCACAGAGCAGAATTTCTTCCTTCTTAATACTGAGCCATTCCAGGAAAGGGTGAAAGAGCACTGCGGTTTTTTAAAGAGCCTTTTTTCAAAGGCTGAAGAGACACGTAAGTTCAGCTATTAGTTCTGCCTTTGGAAGGGAGTAAAAAGCTGTTTTTAAAAATAATTTATATATCAAATATAGAGATCGCCCGTCTTATTCATAGAGCAATTTCTAAAAATTGCTTTTATTTCAGTCTTTGCTGAAACATATGCGTTTGATTTTGCACTGGGCAATTTTGTAATGCTAGTGATACATTTTGTAGAGCAAGCATATTTCATGACGTCCCAAGAGTTGTGTCTGTAGTAAGTCTTAGTTGTTCACATAAAGATAACAACAACAACAACAATAATGAATCCCAAAACACCTGGATCACCCCTTGACCACCATCAGCATTGACAAAATCCCTCTCAGTCAATTGCAAAAGGCAGCTTTACTCGGAATAGCTTACATCCTGCAATGATACCTCTAACACCCTCAAAACGTATCTGTCCATCCAGCTTTTTGTGAAAGAATGGGTAGGTGGACAAAAAAAGTCAAATCCACTCTAAACATCTGGCTGACTGTGATGAACAATAATGTTTTGATATATATTTCATAAATATATATTATGCCATGAACTATGGAATCCTCAGAATCCTACTTCTAGACTCAGATTCTTCAGTGATAAGATGTACACCTTATTTTGATATTTCATTTTTCTTTGTTTTGCAGACAAGTCCGAAGGTGATTCTGTTTCATCAGACTAGGAAGAAGACAGGAGGTAAGAATCCAGTGCTTGGTTGTAGTAATGGCTGTCAATTGGGATCAAGTTGGATGATTCCAGAAGGGGGCTAGACTTCTTTCGAAATAGCAATTTCACATCGGCATTCCAAACCATTTTTAAGTAGCACTTTTGTGGCTCAGCTTTGCTGTGTGGAGTGGAAGGTCTCCAAGCAGATGCCAATGGCCTTTGTGGAAGAGGAACCTGGAGGAACCTCTAGATCTCAGCATAAACAAATACAGATCTTGGGCATAAGGTAGGAAGAAATGAGCCAAGAAGAGTAACTTACACAGAAGATTGTGCATTGTTGAGAAAGAGGAAGTATGACAATGAAACTCAGCCTTTGGGGGAAATCAGTTTTCAGGTGAATGGGACTATTTAACAGACAAATGGAGAGATTGGGAATGTCTCCTTGTAGCCAGTGATAAATGTTATCAAAACATTCCCATAGGTACCCCTGAACCTCAAGATGCAAATGTTTCTTCTAACAAAGGCCATTGTCCTCTCTAGTTAATACAAGAGCAGGAAGATTGAGATCAGTTATGTTATTAATTACCAATGTGTACGCATGCATATAAATCCCCCTCCATTTTGAAATGTATAAATATGAGTGAATCTGTCAAGTCTGTCACCATGATGGCTTCAGTCTACTTCGCTTTGTTGGCATCCTGCCATAAAATGCAGGGAGGGGGAGAATGGGGACGTAGGGAAGGGGGATGACAGGATGACAGAAACCAGAGGTGTCAATCTGGAATAGACAGGCTGATCCAACAACATGAGCATGAGAATGAAATGCAAAACTCCACCAAAGTGGTGCCAAATTTTAAAGCTGTTACCAAAACTCCTAATATTATTGGGCTCTTAAAATTGGTCAAGATGAGAGGACCTGGGAGAAGAGGGAAAGGAAGGCTTTGAGTGGGAATACTCAGATTTAGCTTTTCTTGTGCTGTAACCACTTGACTTTAGCAAAAGTATACCTTTTGCTACAAATGGATTTGAGGGTCTTTCCTAAACATCCAAGCTGGGAGAAGCTTGACAGCATCCTTTTCTCCAGGGGTGGGATTCTACAAGTTCACACCTATTCACTAGAACCAGTTGTTAACATTCTAAGCAGCTTGGAGAACCGGTTGTTAGAAGAAATTACTGGACTAATCCTGTAAGGAAGTCAGGAAGAAAACATTCTGGTGTTGCTTACAGAAACAGCCTCTCTGTTAACCCTTATTACGTTCTTGGCAGGACCAGACCTCCTGTCTCAGGAACGTTTCTGGAGTTTTTCCCCCCTCCTTTGCTGGTACTTTGCTTGTGTGGAGTGACCAATCAAAGTTACAATGGCACTGAAAAAAGTGACATGACCATTTTTCACACTTACAACTGTTGCAGCATCCCCACAGTCATGAGAGGCCAGGCGAGGAGATGCGTGCCTCGATGTGAGTGATATTGAGTTGGCCACACCCAGCCAATAACATGACCACCAAGCCATGTCCACCCAGTCACATGGCCACCAAGCCACACCCACCACCTAAGCCATGCCCTCAGAACCGGTTGTTAAAAAATTTGAATCCCACCCCTGTTTTTCTCCCACTATTTTCTGAAGGGAATTTCTCCAATGCACACTGATAACAGTAAACACTGCAGCGAGCCTTAATTACGTACTCTGGGTCCTGCATTTGGATTCCATAAACTCCACCATGTTTAATATAAGGAGAACACAGAGCACCTTAGGTGGACTTTTAAGGTTAAGATTAAGGCACCAGACTAGACATCAGGAGACTGTGAGTTCTAATCCTGTCTTAGCCATGAAAGCCAGAAAGGTAGGATTAGAACTCACAGTCTGATAACGTTTAGCCTGGTGCCTTAATCTCAAAAATCAATCTAAGATGCTCTGTATTCCCCTTATACTAAATAGGCTGATTTTAGACTAGTCACTCTCTCTCAGCCCAACTCATCTCACAGGGTTGTTGTTTTCGGGAAAATAAGAGGAGGAAGGAATGTAGAGTATGTTCTCCATCTTGGGTTATTTGTAAAAATAATAACATCAAGACACATATAATAAACAAAAATAAATAAAATTCTCTTATTCTACCTTACTACAGAGAAGACCATCCCGGAATCTCTGCTTTGCCTGTGTCTTGAACTGGCCTAGTGTGAAGGGCTGCCTGCTACATAGGTTGGACCTCTTTGAAAATGGTGCCCACATCTTAAAGGCACCATTTGAAAATCTACCTACAGTTTTGTTGGCTTCAGAATAGCGCTTATGTGTTTATTTCTCTCAGGAACCAAGACTTTTCCTTAAAGCTTGAGAAAATGATGACAAGTTGCATCAGAGAACTTTCCAGAATCATCTATTCTCCTTTCAGGGACTGACTGGTGGAAACTTGGGAGAAAAATAAGCAGACAACTTAAACCCACATAACTTTTGCTGTAAAAATAATAAACTGCTAGGAGTAATTTGTTCCATCTTGATTTGAGACAAGCTTCTAATTAATCCCACTGCCTCAAAAAGAACTTCTTAATACTGTCTGAATTCTTTGGATAGAAAATCCCTTTATTTTCACAAAGTCAGACTTGACACAAGATGGAAAAACAAATAAAGGAAACAGGAATTCTGCCAAATTTTACTATAACCTAATGACTCATATCCTTTTCATAGGGCTGAGCTCCTTAAATCTAATAAATCAGCAGGTTTGGTATTCTGGGTATCAAAATTATTTTAATATGTCCTGATATGGAGAAACCAGTTTAGGCAGGATGCTTACATTGGGACATGATCCGTTTAATTAGAGATGTTTTCTTGTGTGCTATAAAAACAATTTCAATCTCAAATACTAGTAGTAGTTACTGGAATCCATGTGTCCTAGTTTGGAAAGATAGGTCCACCTGTTGCCCAACCAGCAGAAATTCATAGCATTAAACGTTGGACTTTTCAAAGTTTTCCCCTTAGCAACTATCTACTGAAACCATCTCCATTACTTTCCCATATCCCAAACTCCCAATGTTTCTCCACACACATCATACATACACCGCACTCAAACCTCACCACACACACCACACTCAAACCTCACCACACACACCACACTCACACCTCACCACACTATACCCACTATACTATGCACACCACACTACACCACACAAAAATCTCACCATACAACCACACACCATACCACATCATACCATACCATACTATACTATACTGGATTAATCTGTAGACTCTACTATACTGGAGTTAGGAACCACGGTGGCATAGTGGTTAGAATGCAGTACTGCAGGCTAATTCTGCTGATTGCTGGCTGCCAACAGTTCAGCAGTTCAATCCTGACTGGCTCAAGATTGATTCGCCTTCTGTCCTTCTGAGGTGGGTAAAATGAGGACCCAGAGTGTTTGGGAACAATAGGCCAGAGGTGGTATTCAGCAAGTTCTGATCACTTCTAGAGAACCAGAAATGGAAATTTTGAGTAGTTCGGAGAACCAGCAAATACCACCTCTCACTGGAAATTTTACAGAAATTTCCAGCTACGCCCACAGAACCGGTAGTAAAAAAAAATTGAATCCCACCACTGCAATAGGCTGATTCTGTAAACCACTTAGAGAGGGCTGTAAAGCACTGTGAAGCGGTATATAAGTCTAAGTGCTACTGTTATGCCTATGTTTCTTCACACTTTGGTATTAATTTCTAATGAAGTTAATCTGCTTGTTCAAAAAACCACTGCAGTTTTCACCTCCTACACTCTTGACACCTTATTTAGTTTTTATTTACAATTGTTATTTTTACTGTCACCAGTGGGTTCCCATCTTCTAGTGAAAAGTGCAGGAATTTTGAGGGAGTCACTAGGGGTCAGCACAGGCACACATACACAGAGAGAGAACATTACAGCAGATTAAGCTTTCATGCCTGGCAAGTCCATCAGGTGGCTTCTACTTCCAGCCTTTGCATTATTAAAGTCAATGGGATTGGCCAGAAGAAAAGCCCCATCACACAGTCTGTGTTTTCAACAACGTCACAATTTTGTCCTTCCAGGACTGACCTGGGAGGACTTCCTATGCCTCAACATTATTCTGCCTCTCTATGACTATCAGGTGGAAAACTCTCTAAAGACATTTCCAGCAACTGGAGAAGGTTGAAACCATCGTTCTATTATTCCCAAAGCCTGCAAATTAACAGAGTGAGGCACTCGGGCCCTTAAGACTAATGCCAGCCCACAAAGCTACATACAGTTTAATTTCTTTGAGGAAATAGCTGCACTGTTTGAAGTACTTGTGAAAAAGTGGGTGTTCATAGAATCAAAGTGGGAAAGGAGAAATGAGACAAAAGCCATTGGCAGTCGGAAAGTCTGAGTAAGAGCTCAAATTGTTATATGCCAATTCAATCAAAATTAACATGTTAAACCAGTTTTGTCTTTTCCAGTTTACAGTTGTAGAAAGTTAGCACCCACTCCTCTCCTAGAAGAATGAAATATTTTAGGAAATATTAAAAAGGCAGAATATTATATTTCCCTGGATGAAAAATGGAGAAACATGCTCTTGGAAAGCAGCCCCCACCTTTCTTAATAGCCCTCAGCAGATGTCAGCACTTAAGAGATAAATAGATAGATAGCTCTATTCATAAGCAAATTCCCTGCAGCAAGGTCTAAACAAAAATAGGATTATCCCTCAACCACAATAGGAATTGCCCAACAAGCCCCTTCATTGCCTCAGCCAAAGTTCAACCAAGCTTAGCTCAGACAAACTCCTAGAATTTGTACATGGCCCGTGGGAGTCTGACAACAGCCAATAGAATACATGTTCTTGCACAGGAACAGGAAGTTTAAGTGCAAAGCCCAAGAGAAAGTATAAATATCTCCCATTCTCAACTCCATGTTGTCAGCTGCCCAGAAGCCATGTGCTGCTTGGTTCTGCTTCATCAATAAATGGATCTTCTTTCCAATCAGCCTCCAGCCTCCATTTTGTTTCTAGTGCCTTTCTCCTGCCTTGGAACTGAACCAGGTGGATATTTCTTTCAACACAGTATTCTGTTTACTTAAATAAAGGATCATCATTATCACTATCACCATCATATTTTTGCAGCCATCACGTAAACAAAAATTTGGTTAATCTAGTTGAAAAAAACCTCTTGAAATTGCACTTTATTATATTAAATGTGTTGAAGATTTATTGTATTTCACCGATATCTCTCCTTTCACTGTGGAATTCTAATAGTTGAAATGCACCGATTTCCAAATTTCCAAAGTGGAGAACATAGATCTGGCAATTTTAAGATAGGTGGACATGTTCAGACCTGGTTTAGAAACTGCTTTCAACGGGGATTTATTCCACATCCAAGCGGTAAACTTGGGTGAGGAGCTGCAAACCCCTTGCATTCTTTCATGATTTATTAATAATCTGATGAAGAGGAAGGAATACTTAACAAAACTATAGATGCCACCAAATTAGATGGATTAGCTAAGACTTGACAGATAACAGATAATCAGAGTTGGAAGGGACTTTATAGGTCATCTAGTCCAACCCCCCGGCCAAGCAGGAGACCCTACACCATTTCTGACAAATGGCAGTCCAATCTCTTCTTGAAGGTCTCAAGTGATGGCGCTCCCACAACTTATGAGGGCAAAGCTGTTCCATTGGTTGATTGTTCTCACTATCAGAAAGTTTCTCTTTATTTCCAGGTTGAATCTCTCCTTGTTCAGTTTCCATCCATTATTCCTTGTCTGACCTATGGGTGTTTTAGAAAATAGCGTGACCCCTTCCTCTCTGTGGCAGCCCCTCAAATATTGGAAGACTGCTCTCCTGTCTCCCCTGGTCCTTCTCTTCACTAGACTAGCCATGCCCAGTTCCTGTAACCATTCTTCATATGCCTTAGTCTCCAGTCCCCTAATCATCCTGTACTTTTTCTAGAGTCTCAATATCTTTTTTATAATGTGGTGACCAAAACTGGATGCAGTACTCTAGGTGTGGTCTTACCAAGGAATAGAATAGAATAGAATAGAATAGAATAGAATAGAATAGAATAGAATAGAATA